AAGGAACAGTTTGAAAAAAGAAAAACAGAGCATGTTTTAATATTAAAGAAAAAGGTAAGTGACCATATTATTTTAAAGTATAAAAAGGCAAGTTTGCATGTATTAATATAAAAGAAAAAGGTAAGTGAGCATGTTATTTTAAAGTATAAAAAGGTAAGTTTGCATGAATTAATATAAAAGAAAAAGGTAAGATTGCCCTGTGCATGTTGTAAGAACAAAATAATTAAGTTAATATCAATATTGATCTATACTGAAAAGATCAATATAAGGAGCGTGTAAGAATGAATATCCTTCAACTAGTGTAAGAATTTCCATTCTTTAATGCTCGGAGCGTGTAAGAATATACATTCTTTCACGCTCTGACCATGTAATAATTTCCATTCTTTCACGCTCTGACCGTGTAATAATATCCATTCTTACACGGTCTGAGCCTTAAAGAATAAAAATTCTACACCAACAGTGTAAGAATAAGCATTCTTAAACGCTAGGAAGCGAACAATATTAAAATTGTTCCTCCTGAACCGTGTAATAATGGGAATTCTTAAACGATAGGTTTACTACTATGGAACCGAACAGATATGGTATAATAAACAATATCTAATTTCATTATTTGTATTTAAAAAGAACGTTAGGATATTTGGGGAAATCTCTAGAGTTATTATTTGTATTTAAAATTTTTGAGAGAAAAATCTTTAATTGCATTATTTATATTTAGAAAATACGCAAAGAGATCTGGAGAAAAATAAAAAAAATATATATTTTTGTATTTAGAAAATACGACAGGAGATCTGGAGAAAAATCTAACTTATTTTTTGTATTTAGAAAATACGTCAGGAGATCTGGAAGAAAATCCAGCTCGGGAATACAGCAAAGAGAAGTAAGGGAGTCGAGGATTATGCTGCGCTTAATTCACAAAAAGAGGTAATTTTATAACAACTAGGTTTACATGGCTATGGCTAATATGTCTGCTAGCCGTTTGTACATTTTTGAATTATTAAGAAACATTTCAGAATTTATCAGAATGATCATGTTTCTCTTATTTTATAAAGCTGGCTGGTTGATTGTTTGATTGATTTTGAAGTTGATTGATTGATTGATTTATTAGTTTGTTGACATCATGCTGGCTGAAGCTCGTGTGAACTGGATGAACCAGCATCCTGAAGAAGAAGAAAAATGGTTAAAGGTATTCTTCGGATGGCCGGGGTGGAGGAAAACAGAGATTACTTCTTAATACATATAGATTTACAACTTTTATTTTATTATTGACAAATTTTTTTCTGAATGTTGATTTTTTTATTACAGGGTGTCCACATCATATTTGATCGTTTATAGCTCTACTGAGATTCATTTAGAATAAATGTATTGGGCTAATATTAAAAAATTCTGCAGAAAATACCAGGTTTTTCATGTACTTTGTTCGTATTTTGGCGTTAAAAGCTTGAAGATTAAACATTGTGATATGGGACGCTCTGTTTGTAATTTTCTTTAACATGATTGAATATGTGCTGGATATAGGAGCACGAAACTGAGCACGCTACCTGTGGTATAGACGGGTGTAAATATACGGCACATCAGGATATCCTAGGTAAATATACGAGTTTTCAGGATATTCTAGGTAAATATACGGCATATCAGGATATTCTAGGTAAATATGCGATTTATCAGGATATCCTAGGTAAATAAACGGCACATCAGGATATTCTAGGTAAATATACGGCACATCAGGATATTCTAGGTAAATATACGGCACATCAGGATATTCTAGGTAAATATACGGCACATCAGGATATACTAGGTAAATATACGGCACATCAGGATATTATAGGTAAATATACGGCAAATTGGGATATTCTAGGTAAATATACGGCACATCAGGATATTAAAGGTAAATAGACGGCACATCAGGATATACTAGGTAAATATACGGCACATCAGGATATTCCAGGTAAATATACGGCACATTGGGATATTCTAGGTAAATATACGGCACATCAGGATATTCAAGGTAACTAACCTATTCGTTTCAGGATATCCTAGAAACGACAATATCTTTAACAGTATTGATCAGAAGGTAAAGAGGGTTACTTGAACCTGTTTTAATTTAGAAAAGCATATTCTTCACCAGCACCTGTCTGGTCTATACAACAAGATACCGCAGGGGAATTCACCAGAGGAAATAGAAAAATGGAAACAGGAACGCAGGAAGAATTTTCCTACCAGGTAAGGAATGACAAAACATCCTGAGCTGAAAACTTTAGAGTTGGATATCCTTAATACCGATTGTTTGATCTGAATATCCACTGTGGACACTTTTAAATTCTGTTAAATCCGCTCTTTTTTTATATCCCTACTGGATTCCGACCAATCACTGTTCTCTCATTAAATGGCGCGCAAATTCAAATTTTCCGGCTGTTCGGAATTATGCATTTGCCACTCTGATTGGATGCATTTTAGAGACTTTCTTGGGACAAACTAAAGATTAAATCAATCTCGAGATTAACAAAAAGAAGAGATCAAGAATTGTTCTTAATATCTACAATTCAGCTTAACTAACTAGTGCAAGAAGCCCCCCCCCCCCACTAGATTTACTAGACTTTAAAAAATTTGTAAGTTTTCCTTTTCTACGTGTAATGTGCGTAGAAGAATAAATGCTGAATCATAAAAATCTAATGTTGTAAAATATTACTATTGTGGCTTCATCTAGTTACACCTAGACTTGTCAAATGTAAACATAACTAGAGATGGACGCGTTCCGCTTTTTAAATTCTTTCGTTCGTGAAAGACCTATTCCGTTTGGATTTTTCTTCGGTTTTTTTTAATCGTTGTAAAGTTTAGCTAAAAACGTTTGTTCATTAATGTTAATTCGTTTTTGTTTGTTTTGTTCGTTTAACCTTCCTCTGATTTTTGAATTTTAATAATAATCTATAAAATATCAGTGCAAATATTTTGACGTTTCTTTATTTATTGTTCTCCATTTGCGTCGTTCATCTTTCATCATATTTCGGGTAATTTTGAAAGAAGAAAAATTGGGACATCCTAGCAGTTGCCATGCTGCTAGATTAGAACGAGGTTGAGAGGCTCCTGTTTTCCTATTAAAATGGAAATAAAAAATCACATGTTTTTAAATATTCAACTATTCCAACCAATGATGTTCCTAGTGCAATGAGGTTTTATTTATGTCTACATTTCTCTGAGCTAGATTATTTTCTATTCTTTGACAGCTTTAGTTATGAAATAAAAAAGAATATACGTCATATGTCGTGGGGGTGAAAAACACCTTATTCATTGTTTTAAACAGGGATCTTTTTATTTTTTTAATTTATTTATTTTAGGAGAAAAGAAAGAATTTTGGTTTGAAGTGTCAGAAGAAAATATATAACTTGCCTTTTGATTTCCAATTTTCCATTTTGAATTTGTTTAGCTTATTTGACATATCACATGATTTCTTTACTCTGCTACTTTTATATCAAAATGCTTTTTATTGTCGTAAAAAATATTTTATGTTAGGGCGAAGGTGGAAGCGAAGGAGGAGGAGAGGAAGGAGATGAGGGAGAGAGGGGAGGTGATGAGGATCAAGAGAATAACTTTCTCCAAATGAATTTCTTTTTTGGTCCCGAATATCATTTTAAAATTTTCACCAAATAAGATTCATGATTGAAAAAAAATGGAAATTGTAAGTCATGTTGCAAATATTAAATTTTGACTTTTTGATTTTTAGGATCCTGATTGGGAATGTAATTGCAAAGCTCGGTTTTTAGTCAGGTTGGTTATTTTTATTGTTTTGTTGTTAAAAGATTGTCAAATAATTTGTGTTCCTGCTTTTTTAAATTTTTTGTTGTATTTTGAATTGTTGGATATTTTTTTCATAATTGATCGATTATTTTTATTTCGTTTATTATTATTTTGTTGATAACTATCTTGATTTTGCAATTAAAGAAATTATTGATCTTTCTCTGTACTTGGTAACGAATCTAAAAATATTTTTCTTACAGAGACGGACGAGGAGGTCGCGGTGGTCGAGGAGGAAGAGGAGGAGGGGGACGTGGAGGAAGAAATTTTATTAAAAATCTCCGCCATCAGGGGCATTGCAAGGTGGGGCTTCGAGATTTAAAAAAAAAAATTCGTGGTAGAAAAATAGTAGCAAAGATATTTCTTTTAATTTAGCTTATTGCTACCAACAAATTTAAAACATATGATTTTTTTTGCAATTTTATGAAGAAATTTTATTTTCTATATCATTTAATAATTGGGATTGTTTTCATGATATCTCTTAGATTGGCTCGAAAAAATAACTGTTTTTTTTCTCGATGTTTTTGTTCACATTTTGCTACTTAATATTTACATATCCATTGATCTAAAATGTTGCGGATTCTTTGGATCCAGGTCCAGAAAGCTATAATGTTGCGGGTTCTCTGGATCCAGATCCATGGAGCTAAAATGCTGCAGATTCCATGGATCCAGATCCATGAAACTAAAATGTTGCGGATGCTATGGATCCAATGGAGCTACAATGTTGCGGATTCCATGGATCCTAATCAAGGATCTAAAATGTTGCGGAATGCGTATCCAATAGATATGAATCCTAAGCCCTGCTTACAATTACTCACATTTATTTTCAGGAACTGGAGAATATCCGAGCTCGGGCTCGAGATAAGCGGGAGGTGAAAGCAACCCAGCGGTTAGAGTTCATGAAGAACAGACAGGAACAGAAGATATTAAAGGAGAAGAGCATTAAGGCACGGGTTTTATATATTCTTATTATTTTTCTCTAATATATTGTACTATCTTGTAAACCCACCTTTGCCTTTGAACTAAGTTATTAAAATCTCCTTCTCAACTTAGAACTTTTGAACGAAGCTAAGACTATTCCCGTGGTACAAGGTACCCAATCAAATTTGAGGCAAATCTTTGAAGGGAATATTTCCGGACATAAAAATAAACTGACAGAGATTACTACTTGATGTTAATACTAGCTTGGGAACCCAGTTTTGTCTGGAAACTAGACTTTCTCTATAAAATCAACCCATTCAACTTTGAGGTTCTACTGAGTTAACGGTCAAGACGTTCATCAGCTATGTTCGGACAAACAAACGGAGATTTCTAATTTATATTTATAGAGTTTTTCCTTTTTCTGCGATAAAAAACATTTCTGACATACGAGGGTGGGGGATGGTAATTTTTCAAGAAAATATATACCCCTGCGTGAAGGACGAAGAGGATGGATCCGAGGAGAAGGTTGAAATGACGGAGAAGGATGAAACTGATGAGGGACGGATGAATGAGAAGGATGAGAATGATGAGGAGAGTGTGAGTGAGGATGAGGAATGGAATGGAGGACTGTTCATGTTTCCAGGTAATAATATATGTTCTCGTTGTAAAGGGATTATCCTTGTAATAATATATCATCTCGTTGTAAAGGGACTATCCTTGTAATAATAAATGATCTCGTTGTAAAGGGACTATCCTTGTAATAATATATGTTCTCGTTGTAAAGGGATTATCCTTGTAATAATATATGTTCTCGTTGTAAAGGGATTATCCTTGTAATAATATATGATCTCGTTGTAAAGGGATTATCCTTGTAATAATATATGATCTCGTTGTAAAGGGATTATCCTTGTAATAATATATGATCTCGTTGTAAAGGGAGTATCCTGTAATAATATATGATCTCGTTGTAAAGGGATTATCCTTGTAATAATATATGATCTCGTTGTAAAGGGATTATCCTTGTAATAATATATGATCTCGTTGTAAAGGGACTATCCTTGTAATTTGATGTGACCCTCCATGTACGATTTACAACGGTACCCTTAAAACCATTATCTGATCAAAAATATTGAAGATGTCGTATTTCCCATTTTTTTCTGTAGTGTAAATGCGCAAGTTCCTTTGTTGAAGAATCACAATTGATATTGTATAAATGGAAGGCCAACTTAAATTACGCCAAATTAATAACGTACTCTAAAAAAAGAAATATTTTATTATTCCGTGCAAAAAAAACTATTTTTGACGTTTAGGGGAAAACTTATCAAAACTCCTAGATTCAAGTATTTTGCAGTATTCAGTATTCGTAGTCAACTTATTCTTAATTAATGTATTAATTTTTTTATCGATTCAGGGACAAGTGGGTTAAGAGACAGAGTTCCAAATAAGGAAACTATACTGAAGGATGAAGAAGAAGATGAGGAGGGGGATAAAGAGGAATTGAACTTTCATATTAGTGATGATGAGGATATGATTGAAAACAGTCGAGAAATCCCTCCAGATATTCGAGAAATTTTAGACAAACCAGTGCCCACGAAACCTGATAAACGAGAGACTATCGAAGATCGTCTAACGGACGAAAGTGATGACGACGGGCCACCGTTAGAAGAAAAAATTTGCAAATATGCCGACGACATACATCCAGAAACTGCTCTTGCGGAAACTACGCAAAGAGATAAACCAGAAAATCCTCCAACAGATATTTCAAGTTCGAACATTTCCGGAATTTCGGAATACAGTGCTAGAAAACGGAAACGAAAGCACAAGGAGGAGAAAGTCCCGGAACGTAAACGACCGACTGACGTTTTCTCGCGTCCGATTCGTCCGCCCACCCTCCTTGAAAAGCTACTGTTGGACGAAATAAAACGAGAGAGAAATACTATATTACAATGTGTCCGGTTTGTGTGCAGCAATGATTTTTTACAGAAATAATATTTTCAGAGTTAATGAATACAGGAGAATGAGTGGAGATGCTAAACAAGGAAGATACAGGTATAATTCCAAACCAACAGTAATTTTACTTAAATTTTACAATATTCTTAAATATATCAGATGGAAATATTTGAGATTTCTATATTTCTTGTTCGTCCATCCTTCAATCATACTTTGGCTAATTTTGAAAATAAAAAGAAAGAATTTGTTGGATGTCCTTGTAGTTTGCCGTGTTACAAGTAAGAACTATTTTTAAATGATCTTGCTTTTTTCTGGGCCATTAATTTGAAATTGCTGAGTATCTTGCTTTCTTTTTTTCTGAACTCTGTATACTCTTGCATCTTAATTTTTTCTGAACTCTGGATTGAATCTTTTTTTATTTGGTCACACATCTGTTTTCTGTTCTTCTCTTTTAGATCTACGCATTCTTATTAGTTTCTTAGTGAACTTAGATCCCTTTATTTATTATAATTCAAATTGTTTAAATGGCCAAATCAATTAAATTAATTTGACGAAATTATTATTTTATTCTTATTTTGTGTAATAGGTCAACAAATTGTTGAACTCAAATATACAATTTTAGTTCCTAAAGGAATTAAGTTTTTGCAACAAACTTAAAATGTTCCAACCTGTTGCAACCTGATGGCGTAAATCTTTAGATTATTTAATCAAACAGTTTGATGATAGTTTTAAATATCTGAGGTATACGACATTAGGTTGCAAAGAAAGCCAGAGTTAGGGGAAAATACTCAATTCCAAATACTGAATTCATTTAAATTTATTAATCTAATCAATCCAATTTATTCTTATTAACGTAACTAGTAAATACGCTGTTTTCCATTCATCTTATAAATCAGACTAGCTTCTAGATCTAATTGCCCCTTGCAACACCCCTTAAGGGGTGATTCAAAGGTCTTAAGCTCACAAGCAAATCGATGAGAATTTTTCCAATTAATTATTAAAAACTAAAGCAAACATTAAATGTACATTATGGCTACAGAAAAGCATAAGTTAGTTAGAGCGGTAAAATCAAAGCCCAAGGCATTGCGACACTTCAAAGCTGACTTTGTCTAAAAAACTTTCGAGACTTTATATAAAAAGGGTGAATCTAAGTGCTTGTAGTAATCCGAGAACTAAACTGAATTAACCTGATATCATATTAATCTAAAGTTCTGTTAATTACACAAAAATTATTATACGGTCAGAGCGTGAAAGAATGTATATTCTTACACGCTCCGAGCATTAAAGAATGGAAATTCTTACACTAGTTGAAGGATATTCATTCTTACACGATCCTTATATTGATCTTTTCAGTATAAATCAATATTGATATTAACTTAATTATTTTGTACTGGCAACATGCACAGGGCAAACTCACATTTTCTTTTACATGAATATATGCAAACTTACCTTTTTTAACTTAAAAACAACATGCTCACTTACCTTTTTCTTTTATTTTCAAACATGCAAACTTGCCTTTTTTAATTTAATAAAACATGCTCACTTACCTTTTTCGTTTATTGAAGTATTGATATACCTTAACTCAGAAATATGGACGATGCCTTTAGCCTTACATTAGACACTTTCATCAAACTGTCGAGTCTCAAAACATACTGCCCGACTGCCTGCTTTATTAATTTTTTTTAGTTCATCTTCATTTCAAACCAAGTTTGGTGGGATTTTGCAAATCTCTGCATACTTGTAATAGTATGGTCAGAGCTTTTCAGTCTGAGTCACCATATCTCGCATAGTTCGAGATGATAAAGTGAAACCACAATCAAAACCAAAAAAAAAAAATATCAAAACTTATCATTGAAATATTAGTGTCACAACTTTTAATGGAGTCCTAGCACTCCATGGCAATGAAAACAAACCAGTAAATCTTGCTTCATAAATAAAAGACAAAAATCTTCATCAATTCATGTCGAACTGATTCTTACTAGATAACCTGCTTATATCTCCTCTTTTTGGAAGATTTAGGATCTAATATCCAGAAAATGATTTCTTCTATAAATGAAGACATGATATTGTTCAGTAGATTAAGACAACCCACTCCTATACCTTCTCCACATCTAAAAAAAAACTCAGAGCACATTTAACATGCTGTATCTAAATGTAGTATCAACTTGAAAAAACGAGCAAAATCATAAGAAATTAATAAACAAACAAACTAAACTAAGGAAACAATTACACCGCATGCATTGCTTTCAAATTAAGAACCAATTTTTACTTAGAAAATGTTTTTTTTTACATTTTAACATTAGAAAAATAAAAAACATTGTTAGTCAGAACAAGAGCATAAAACTTATTTGCAACCTTTCATAATGTAAACTGTTCCAACTTGAAATAGTCGGATTTCACCAGAATTATTTTTTAATATAATTTCTTGGGTATGTGCCCATGGAACCTCACAAATATGATATAATAATATTCTTATGCGGCCTTCGTTAAAGAATACATCTAGATTATTTCATCTCGTTTAAGAATTTCCATTATCTCATAAGATTATCATATTATCTTATTTATACTTTGATCAGACGAAGCTTTCAAGGTTACCGTTGTAATCTTTGCATGGAGGGTCACTTAAAATTACGCTTACAGTCCCTTTAATTATATAGTTTAATTTAAAATAAAATATTATGATGAATTCCAGAGGAAAGAAGAAAGCAGAGAACGGAAAAAATGGAGGAATTCAAGCTCAGGTTAAATCCTCAACACCATCAATAGATACTTCAGGTAATTATTCATGCATTCATCCTTTCTTTCTTTCATTCATTCATTCATTTAATCATTCAATCATCCATTCATCCTTTTATTCATCCTTTCATTCATCCATCATTTCATGCATGCATGCATTCATCCATGTCATTCATTCATGCGTGCATGCATTTATCCTTTCATTCATGCGTGCATGCATTCATTTTATATGATATTTCACTTTCAAGATTCGTCTCTTATTTTATTTTTCATTTAATTAATTGTTAACTTAATTATTGTATATTAATTTAGAATTATTCTTATAAATAATAGTCTTCTTTCAGGTTTGTCAGTATATCCTAGATTTACTGCGCAGTGTTGTTGCTCACAAGATAAAGTTTGGATTCCTTTGTGTTCTTATTGGTAATTCAATAAATAAACATAAAATAAAAATCTATCAATATCAGGGGAAACCTCTTGTCAAAGCACACTGGTTTGAGACACATTCTTGGGTAATTGGTGTTAGTCCGTTCCAAACTTTTTCTTTAAATTGAAATGAAAATTTTGTAATTTAAAGTTTTTCTTTTGTCTGTGATATTTAAAGTGCATGATCTCTGCCGATAATGTTTTTGTTCACCTATTAGAAAATGCAAAGAAAACGCAAGAAAACAAATTGTTATTAAAAAATTCGTTTTTAAAAAGCAATGATATACTACATGGCCCTTGCAATGTTTGAAAATGTACATTTGATCTTGTCTTCAAACTTGTAAATAATTAGTAAGATTTGGATTCTTAAAAATGATAATTCTCTTAACTTCTTTAAGCTAGGTTCACAATCCCTTTAAATTCTTCAAGCTACGTTCACAATCCCTTTAAATCCTTGGAAACAGTGGTGAAAATCCCTTAAAATTCTTGAAACAGTACTGACAATCCCTTTAAACCTTTGAAATAATGCTGACAATCCCTTTAAATCCTTGAAACTGTGCTGACAATCCCTTTAAATCCTTGAAACAGTGCTGACAATCCCTTTAAATCCTTGAAACAGTGCTGACATACCTTTAAATCCTTGAAACAGTACTGACAATCCCTTTAAACCTTTGAAATAATGCTGACAATCCCTTTAAATCCTTGAAACTGTGCTGACAATCCCTTTAAATCCTTGAAACAGTGCTGACAATCCCTTTAAATCCTTGAAACAGTGCTGACATACCTTTAAATCCTTGAAACAGTGCTGACATACCTTTAAATCCTTGAAACAGTGCTGACATACCTTTAAATCCTTGAAACAGTGCTGACATACCTTTAATTCCTTGAAACAGTGCTGACAATTAAAATAATGTTCAGGCACTCTAGTAGTTCTGCACAATACACCGGGTGATCATCAGGAGTTCATTAAACCAATAGGAAACTTATCCTCATGAGAAACATATCTATTTTATCAGAAACCAGCACCTAGCTTTTTTGTATTTTTTCTTTTAAAAAAAACTAATTTATAGTAAAATTCAAACAACACCCCTAGCCCTCCCTGTTTTTATTATTTGAAAGATGTCATGTTTTTTTCTAAGGCTTAAACCATATATCTACTCTATTATTATTTTTTATTAGAAATCCTAGGTCGGAACAGATTCTGAATATTTCTTAAAATTTCGCTAATTTCTTTTTCCAATAACAAATTGCCAAAAACTTGCAAAAACTTGTTTTACCATTCAATGGTTACATATTTCATTGACACTTTAAAGTATTTCTTTTTTATGTTTTGGGATTTTGATTTTTCTGATGATATGTTTTATTAGAAAAATTACTCCTATGGTGTGGATGGTGGGTAGGATTAGGTAAGAATAAAATCCAAATTCTGATCCTGATCCAGCTCAAATATTTCTACATGTTCTACTATTTGCTCAAATTTTGAATATTTTTCAATCTTTTCGTCTCGATTGACCTTTTTGACAGAAACAATCTCAAGAACTGGGACAACTCAGACCAAAATACATTTTCAAGTAAATGTGGAACTAACATCTATTTTATTTACTCTCGAGATTTTTGAGTAAAAAATCTGCAATAAAATATTTTTAGGTATTCTAAGTTCTGTTGGTTTAGGAACAGGACTCCATACATTCCTCCTGTACTTAGGTAAATCTTAATGCAGGGGTGTATATTTTCTAGAAAAATCACCCCCCCCCTTTTTCGAAAATCACTTGAGAAAAGTTATATATGCTTTTTTATGGTTTTATTAGCTGAATTGGAGAACATGAATAATTTTTTTGTTAATTATCAAAATATATGAAGAAACTTGCTTTATGATATCCTATTTTCCAATTTTTCATTTTTTACCCAAATCATCCAAAAATCATTATTTATAATCATAATTCTGAAAAATATACACTCCTGTCTCTCAAAAGGCAATTTTAGTTTCCAAGAAGTAAATGAATTCACTCATTCATAAGTTACATCCTCTGGCAGACCTCTGCCCGTACTGAATCTACGCATATTTCCTCCTCAGTAAATAAACTAAATATAAAAAATTCTTTTTTGTCCCTAAATTCTGAAGCTAAGTCCTAACTGTTAAAGAGAGGCATTGACACCTTCTTGTGTCTTCTTAAGAAAAACACTTAGTTTTAACTCTTTCAGTAGGCGTTTAACGGTTTAATGTGATATTGATTAACATTAAATGACTAAAATTTACATTTTTGAATTTTCATTTCGGTTTGGCAGTGGCATGTCTTTAGTGATCCAGGTCCGTTAAAAGTTGCAGTTAATCAAGCTGCGCATGAATGCCAATTAATTGAACAAAATATTTAGTTTTACATAAATCATTGGTTTACTAAATTGTTAATTAATTCAGGTCCACATATAGCTGCAGTTACTTTAGCTGCCTATGAATGCCAAAGCACTGAGTTCCCTGAACCCCCCTACCCAGAGCAGATTATCTGTCCAACAGATCCCAGCTCTTCAGCTCAAATGTCAATCTGGCAAATCCTATCCAAGGTTAGTTTCTTCATTGCTTCTTTATGAAGAAAAACATTGTTATCTAAATCGTATTTCATCAGACAAAGCTTTTAATGATACAGTTGTAAATCGGGCATTGGCATCTTTGCCATGGAGGGTCACTTAAACATTACACTTACAGTTTATTCAATCCTTCGAGGCAGAACTTTTTTTCAAAATTTAATTCTTAGAACATTTCGTAAAGAAGTTTTGTTGTGAAGCTTGATACCTATTTATTGTTTCTAACATTCCAAGTCTTGTGACTTTGTAATAACTCTCTCCGAAAAATAAATGATTGCTTGAGAAGAAGAAGGAGAAAAGCAGGTTCCCATTTTAGATTTTTCAATGATACAAAAATCATACTTTTCACAGAGCAAAGACAAACTTAAGAATGTCTAATCTCTCATTCTAAATCTTGTTTGTCTTAGGTTCGGTTAGAAGCTTTCTGTTGGGGTGCTGGAACTGCTATAGGAGAACTTCCTCCATACTTCATGGCAAGGGCTGCCAGGCTTTCAGGTCTATACTTCTTATAATGCATAGGGATTATTCCTCTGATATGCTGATTTTACAAATTACAAATCTCTGTTTGCTATTTGTTATGCATTCATTGCACAGGAATGGTTTAATTATACATCATTGGATGTGACGTTGAGGGCAAAAAATGGTTTTTTTCGATTTTTTTGTTGAAATTTTAGAAACCACTGAATTTTTTTTCCGCGCTAAAGTTCCTAATTATGGGAGAAATGGGGAGGGGGATAAATCTAATTAAATATAATACATATATATATATATATACACACACCCTGGAAAAAGTTCTTCTAAATGTTTAGGATCTGAACCAGGGGAGGAGGAACAGGAGATCTTAGAGCTTCAGGTAAAACATAAATACAGTTTAATTCTGTGTCTCTTTATTTTTGGATTGTACAGGGCACAGAAAAGAATAGAATAGGAAGACGACATTATATCAATACTTAAAGGGAGAAATTGAAGAATCCTGAAAGTCTATTAATTTTAAATTAAGAAACCAACAGATTCAGGGTGGCCAAAATGTACGGATTGTACGGATTGTTTTTTTTTAACCCTACGGACTTAACGGATTTTTATCTTGGAAAATAAACCGTTTTTTTAACTTTCACTCATTTCAGCAAATTTTTCATGAAANTCCTGTATCCTGTATCATGTACCCTGTATCATGTATCCAGTATCCAGTATCATGCACCTAGTATCATGTACCCAGTATTTAGTTTGTATATATGTATGAAGCCAATTTTTTACAGATTGATTCTTGCTGAAGAAGTTTAAACCCTCTTACATGAACTGAACACAAAGGACAATGAATGAAAAATTGAATTTTAATGTTTTTTTCAAAAATGGGATTTTTTTCGAAAATTGTACTGATTGTACAGATTTTTAAAAAAAATGTACGGATTTAAAAAAAATGTACGGATTTAAAAAAATGTACGGATAGGTTTAAAAAAATGTACGGATTGTATGAATTTTTTTAAAAAATTGTTCGGATTGTACGGATTTTTTTTCGAAAATTGTACGGATTGTACGGATTTTTTTCGAATATGTACGGATTTTTGTACGGATTTGTTCAAAAAAGTTTTGGCCAGCCTGCAGATTGTGGATTTTAAAAAGTTGTGCGGAAAATGAGAACTTGTTTCTTAAATTCAGGAGAAGCTGAAGAAGCCTGAAAGTCTAACAACTGTAGAGCGCTGGAAGTATAGAATACAGTGGGCTGTGGAAAAGGTATAAACGTTAAACAAAAAATTAAGTTTTAAAACATTCTTTTGTACTTTTAGAAATTGAAAATTCATTAAATTTGATCATATTAAATACTTGAAAGCCCCCTTAATATCCCGTCCTAGAGAATTTCTTTGATGGACAAATAACAACCTTTAATTAACATGTTGATTACAATGTTGATTACACATGATTAATTAATTAACATGTTGATTACAATTCCTTTTCAGGTTGGGCTGTAAACATTCCCTTTGATTACACATCAAGAACAATCCCTTGTTTAGGTTGGGTTTATGAGTATCCTGGTTTAACAATCCCTTGTTTAGGTTGGGTTTATGGGTATCCTGGTTTAACATTTAGGTTGGGTTTATGGGTATCCTGGTTTAACAGTTCCTTGTTTAGGTTGGGTTTATGGGTATCCTGGTTTAACAGTTCCTTGTTTAGGTTGGGTTTATGGGTATCCTGGTTTGTGCCTCGATCCCCAACCCTCTCTTCGATCTGGCTGGAATCACTTGTGGACACTTTCTGGTTCCTTTCTGGACATTTTTTGGTCAGTTTTACACTATTCATACTTACCAGTTACTTTCTGGACATTTTTTGGTCAGTTTTACACTATTCATACTTACCAGTTACTTTCTGGACATTTTTCGGTCAGTTTTACACAATTTAATCTTACCAGTTTCTTTTTAGACATTTTTTGGTCAGTTCTACACAATTTATACTTACTAGTTCCTTTCTGAACATTTTTCGGTCAGCTTTTAGCAATTTAAACCTTCTGGTTCCTTCCTGGTCATTTTTCTAGTCAGTTTTACACTATTTATACTTTCTGGACATTTTTCGGTCAGTTTTAAACAATTTATACTTTCTCGTCACTCTCTGAACATTTTTCGGTCAGTTTCACACTATTTACACTTACTAGTTCCTTTCTAGACATTTTTTGGTCAGTTTTACACAATTTAAACTTTCCGTTCCTTTCTGGACATTTTTTGGTCGGTTATACATAATTACATAACGATACTTAACAAACAGTAGATTATTCTTACCTGGGTGGAATCAAACTCCCATGGGGAGAAAACAGGGTTAACCATGGTTATGACGACGACATTTCTAATAAATTTGAACGCATTCAGTATCTAACCACTGGTTACCAGAGTATCTAACCTTACTATGCAATCTTGGGTTTAACTAATTAGAATCGATTTAAATTAGTTCCATACATTCAAAAGATTTCAACTAACACTGATTTACTAAAAAAAAGTTTTTTTGGGATTGTAAGCGTATTTTAAAGTGAACCTTTATGCAAAGATGGCAATGCCTGATTCACATCGGTACCCTTGAAAACTCGATGTGATCAATAATGAGGAAGATATTGTCGTTTTTTCAGGCTTTTGTTAATATTGATGATTCAAACATATTTTCCTGCAGCAGACATACGCAAGTCTCCTCTGTAGAGAACCCACAATTTAAAACAAATAATAACATTGATAAATAATTCCTACTTAAGGGTCACTTGAAATTACATTTACAGTCCCTTTAAAGGTTTTGATGTATTGTAGGTGCCACACTGATTGGGAAAGCGATTATAAAAATGCATATACAGAAGATATTTGTTATCCTGGCCTTCAATGAAAATCTGCTCGAGTCTGCTATATCACTGCTCAGAAGAATTCCTGCCATAGGTCAGTAGGGTTTATGTTTATACCAGGATCCATTTCAATTTCATGCAAATCCGGATCCGGATCCTGGTATCCCTTCTGAAAAAAATGGATCCGGATCCAGGTCATACCAGTTCTTTTAGATTTATTGGCTTTTTTAGCAAAAGAAGAATTTTCAAATTTTCGTCTTTTTTTTGCTTGTTTTTCGTCTAAAACTCAATGAACTATTCAGAGATAAATAAAATCTCTCTTTTTTAAAGAGTCAAGATTTTTGAGAAAATTTTTTTGTTTTATAGTTCTTAGTTGAGATTTTGCCCCTTGGATCCGAATCCGTAGATCCGCATATCTTCCAAGAAGTCCGAGTGGAAAATCAATTATGGCAGTTAAATATCGATTTTTGTTTCATGAGTGTACACCTTAGCCTACCGTGAAAGTAAACTTGAAAATTTTAAGAAATGCACAAAATTTAAAGTAAAAAAATGTCATTATTTTTCACATCTCAATGTTGTTTGTTTCAGGAGAGAAGCTGGAAGCCCCAATCCGTAGTATTCTAGTTCAGCAGAAGGATAAACTGCACAACAAGTCTGGAAATCAAGATGGCGGGCCCCAGGGGAACATCCTGTCCGCCATCTTTGAAAAATTTGTTCTCGTCATGGTCGTTTACTTTGTAGTTTCTATCATTCACTCGTTAGCCCAGAATTATGCAAAAAGAAAGGCGACATCTAAAAAATAAAAACATATTGATTTTAAAATCAATAAAATTAAATCATGAAGCAGTCCAATTCAATTATTTTAAATTAGTATTTTATGTTTTGATTATAACTTTTATGAAAAAA